TAGCCTATGCATCTAATTGTGGGTTCATATTTATTAAATGTGAGACAGAGAGTGTGAGAGAAGTGGAGAAAGTTAAACTGTAGAGTAAATGATGTTTCAGAGAAAAGGAGTAAGTTGGTCCTATTCTGAAGCCATTAACCTATGAAAAGGCACACATGGTTTAAGATATATATGAATTGAAGTGCTAAAAGTCAAATGAAAGTCCAAGTGAAGTGTTCATTTTTTAATGGATTCTAACATCTATAAGAAACTATTTCTTCCTTAGTTACGTGTTTATTTCATAAACTTCTAGGCAAATTATTTATATAAATAAAAATTGAGTTTATACTGCTTTTTTAATTCATTTTTTGTTGTGGACATGTAGCTGCAGTATATTACATAGTAAAATGCTCACATTTACTTTTCTTTTAGATACGCTTTAGAAAATTTATGATGTTCAGAGATAGAGCCAACATTACCACTGTCTGTTGCCTCACAAAAGTATCTTTTGTTTCTAAACAATTATCCTGATGTCTCTCACACATTATTCCGTCACTATTTTAATATGGAAGAATAGCAAAAGCAAAATGAAATTAATATATTTCAAGTGCAAATGATTGACCTCAGGAAAAAAAGAATTATGTGGAAAGGAAAGCAGAAAATGAACTGGAAGAGAAGAGTAATGGACTGTAAGATAAACTCATATTTCATGAATATGAAGAGGACTTTACTCAGTGCTTATCATAGGTAATTAATATTTTTCTTCCTTGACTTTTCAGCTCTTCGATCAAAATTTTGGATTTCTCAGCTTCTATATCTCCTTAGAGTTTCCATTTTCCAGCTCATCAATCTAAAAGATTGAGAATGACCAAAATGATGAAAAGTATGGAAATAATATTACATGAGCATCAGATAGACGAAAAGGGGCTATTCATTTGAAAGACTGTCACATAAAGGACTAATTTAACTTACTATGTGTGAATTTTGGTAGATTAAACTGTGATCAATAGCAGAAGGTATATCATTGTAGTTCATTGCTAGAAATTTAAGATGTAGAAATTTAAGACTCACCATGACTGGAAGTATACTTAGCTTTCTACTTATCCTGGCTTATACTTGGTTTTTTATTTTTCTTTGGATCCTTTAGGGTTTTCATTGCTTTGCCTATCTCCTTTCTTGCTAACAGTGTTTCTTCTTAGGCTAGACATTCTTGTTCCCTCTTTTAATCCAGGCTCTCTTACTAATCTCTTTATCGTGTATTCATTTCATCTAAGTGAGAAATGGTCAACAGAAGCCCTGTGACTTTGACTTTCTTGCTGCCTCTGGAGCCCATCCTCCTCTTTCCATTCCATTCCCGTGGCATCTGGGTTTCCTTGAGCCATGAACACCTTAAGGACATAAATTATCTTTTTATAAATACCTAGTTGGCCACTGCAACAAGCTGTAAATAATTGTATCACTCAATGAATACGTGACTTTCAACAATTTACTGTGAGCCCACTTTCTCTTGTCTGGAGGGTTTTGTCAATGATCATTTTGGGAGGATCTGCCTTTTGAGCGCTGTAGATATATGGATCAAGGAGATACAGTATCTCCCACCAAAATATCACAGTCTAGTTTAAGAAAAATATGCAAGTAAATTTTGGTTATGAAAATGTTTTGAAAAGAAAAGCGTATCTGATCAATGTAATTTATCAGTTTTGTACCACTCGGCCAGGAGCCTGCAGACAGCTCAGCCAAGTGTCCTGTGGCTAACGGAGACAGATCATCCTGAAGGTAAAATGACACTCACATCTCACTGAGAGATCCAAGCGAGGCCAGGCGGATTCCCATCATCTTGGTCTAGCTGCCAGTCTCTCTTTTCTAGGAATTCTTTTGCCTGAGTCTCTAGATTCTTGTATTTTCATTTTTCCTTTTTGGCTTCATGTGTTTGCACATCAAATTCTGTTCACAGTGGCTTACAGTCCTACTGGTTGCTTCTTACCATCAGGTGCATATGCACAGTCACACTCCGCATAACAAGGTCTCAGTCGATGACAGACCACATACACATTGGTGGCCCCATGAGATTATATCACTTCATGACCTTATAGCCATCTCAGTCTGTGAAAGTACACGCTGTGATATTCACACACTGGTGAAATTGCCTAATGACACATTTGTCTGTACATATCAACAGCAAGTGATGCATGACTGTAGATACAGAGGTTTTGATTTTTCAGTTGGCAATTGTTTAAAGTTTGGACTGTCTGCTTCGCTTCACAAACATAGTTAGCTATTTTATGGTTAATCCTAGTTATTTATTTTCACATTTCTAGTTTTATGGATCCAAGCAAAGGCATGAAATTTTAACAAAGGATCCTCCAATGTTATAACTCTGTTAACAAGTTTATTGGAAATGCTGTAAATACCTTTCCCTTCCTTTACCAAATGTTTTAGTCAAAATTTTCTCTGCACCTTTGACTAAAATGGCTTTATAGACCACCCTGAATTTAAGAAGAGGAAAGAAAAAAATACATTCTTGGCTGAGTATAGCCTGGAAGACCTTCTATTACCGCGATGTCTCTCTCTTTCTGGGTACTTCTGGTTTCCAACTACTGAATATTCCTGGGATAGCATCTTCCTGAAATGAAATGTGATATTCTAACTTCTTCAGCCTTCTCTTACGTAAGCAGGAAGGATGTTACTGTTTTATAGAGGAAGAAAAGTGGGGAATTGAGAAGAGTCATGGCAAAAAGGTTGGTAGAATGAGTACAAAAAATAAAGCTCCATGTTCCTATTTTTTAAGGGAAGAAAGGTTTATTTACCTCATAGTTGTAGAGGTTTCAGTCCATAATTGGCTGGCCCCGAGGCAGGGTAGTACATGGCAGTGGGGCAACAGTTCATGGCAGCAGAAGACAGCAAAAGCAACCTTATTTTCCTTTTTTTTTTTGGCCTTAGAGTCCCTACCATTCAATCTCTAGTGACTCTGACATTTGAAATGCAAACATTGAAATGATCTTTGGCTCTTGAATCCTGACTGCTGGCTCTGCTGTTTGAGTGAATGACTTCATTCCACATGTACAGCTGATACCTGTGACACACTCAAACCACATGAGGCCATCATATACTATGACAGTCAAGTGAGGAGCAGGTAAAGTCTAAAGTCTGTGGAAGGAATGATGAAATGAACCTCAGACTGCATTCCAAAGCATTGGATTTTAAAAGAAGTTTATATTCTGACTTTATAGTCCAGCCAGTTACTCACCAAAAACATGCTATTTGTCATTGATGCAAAACTTATTTACTTCATCAAGTTATTCCAGTGCATCCTTACAATGACTGGGAGTGAGGCATAGTACTATGCAGAACTAACAAAAACATACTTTTGAAACTCCCTCAAATTTGTTAAAAAATTCCAATTAGTCCAAGAGGCATTTGTTTTTATTCTCACTTTCCAGTTCTTAAACTCTTCCATGCAAGTGCCTATACTATTTTGTCTTTCTTCTTCATTTTTTCCTTTTCAACTGGAATTTGAGAACTGAATGATGTTATTAATTATGGTTCATCTTTTACACACAAATTTAGTCATCTCTGTTGACTTGCAATGTTCATGGAAGAGAGTGCCCTTGAGGAAACATCACCGTGAAACCTTGTGTTCACACAGGGCAGAAACCTAAAGCTCCCTGACACCTCTTAGGCTCAGGATAACGTGGACTTTTCTTAGTAGCTCATTCCAGAGCTGGATAATAAAGAACTGCATGTAATGGGATCACTTCCAGTTTTATTAAGAAGCATTTGTATGTGGATAATCTCACATTTAAATTGTATATGAAAATTAGGCAGAACATTTAAGACAAGAATGAACTAGTCATCTTTCTAAACTTATCCAATGTTCTCTGCCAACTCCTGATGATGTAGGAGTTGCTGATCTGTTTTTCAGATACTTGAGGTCTTTTGAGGTCACATTCTATCTATACTAATTTTCTGATATCAATTCCTTGAACAGAACCAAATTCAAGACTACTGTTTCCAAACAGGGGCAGCAAAGAAGTTCTCTGAGTGTCCCTAATCTTAAAACCCTTTGGTCAGCCAGCTCTACCCTGGATAAGATTAGGTAGCAGCTAAAAGGTCTGATTTTGGAAATCTTTAAAGCACCATTTTACCCCATCTGTAAATCTTTCTAGATTCTTTGACATAGAAACGATCATCTCTACAATTCCACTGTTGAGAGAACCAAGGCAAAGCCAATGCCTTTTTAGAGTTTATTAATCACCTAGCTTGTTTTTCCAAGTGAATAAGTTGTTGTGGGAGAAGAGAAATGCTAATTAGTGTTTCTAATTATTGTGAGTGGCACTACAACCAGGGAGAATGTGACCTGAGGAAGACATTTATAATAGGCAAATACCAGTGACAAAGAAGGAACCATGCAGTGCCTCTGAATACAGATACCAAGGACCCCAGGAGAAGTACTGAATCAGGATATTCTAAGGTTGGGCCAAAGATTATTCATTTAATACCCAAAAACTTCATAGGAAACTGAGACATGGCCGTGACTGGGAATTATCTTACCAAAAGGAAACTTTGTAAGGTAATCTTAAATTTAGTGCTTCCTGGAGATACATAGACACAATAGGTTTTTGCTAAATAAATGTCTGCCTGATTGACTGAAATAATAAATCAGGGATTAAGTAGAAGTTGAGTCCTTAATTACAGTTTCAACTCTGCTATCCCCATACATCGAGGCCTGAACCTCTTTACCAGAGCGATCAGTACCTCTGCTGTAACCTGGAGGATGGAGCAGAAGACCAGAAGAGCAATGAGAACAGATAAAAGTTGATGAGTGAAAGTAGCATATGAGATGCTTAAATTATATTTGTTCTTTCCATGTTCCCTGAAAAGAGGTGGAATGACACCCCATCTTCTCCAGCTAGTTTATAGCCAGAGAACAGAAGCTGACATTGAAATGGTGCATGTGACAGGAATGTGCCCTTGCAGGACCTCCAGAGGAGTTACAAATCAGGTCAGCTGCGAAAAGTTGGCTGTCATTCTTTCCTCTATTTGGAATGATTCTAACCTTCTATATTTTGGCAGGATGGTGAATTAGTCCATGGGTAAAGTTTAACAAGAAACTTGTAACAATCTCGTTATTGTAATCTCAGGTTGAAGAATGAAATGTCTTAAAGATCAAATTAACCTCATGGTTTGCAGTACTATGTTTAGAATGTCTTTATTCTTAGGTTGTTCCTCTCCTCTTTCAATGCAAATGTGTGGCTGGTGCTCAGTGAGTTGTGTCCTTATGTATTCAGCTGGAATCACCAACTATGTCAGTACTGAGGACAGTCTTCAAGGAATGACCACTGGCAGATGGGAAACTTGAGGTCTGTGCCCTTTGGCGACGCGTTCTGGTAAGTACTCTGAGGCCCCAAAATTCATTGAGACAGGTATTATGATCCTCACTTTATAGAAGAGGAAATTGATGTTTCAAGATGTTGATAAATTTTCCTAACTTTACCTATGTAATAATGGAGGAGGGGGAGTTGGGAATAGAAGGCTATAGTTGGAAAGCTAGAAGGGGAGGCACAAAATGAGAGACAATATGAGATTTTAGACATGAAACACAAGGAATAGAAGACGTGAAAAGGAATAAGAGGAAAAGGGGTTCACCAGGTGAACTATTTTGTACCACATCGTGTTTACCTGGCATTAGATATAAATTCCTTAAAATTTTGATTAGTTATTTACTTAGTCATTGCTAGTGTTGGGTCTCTGAATAGTATAGTCTTGGAAGTGCAGGTTATTCATTCTTTGGGCACAGCTGACTGAAGTCTTGGAAATATCCTGGGAATTGAATCCAAACAGGAAACCAGATATTCTCTACTGCTGGTATCAAGCAAATGTGACCCAGTCTGGATAGAGCTGTGCTCTGCCCAACCATTCCCTCAGATATAATCAGCAGACCAGGGTCATTCATGTTCCAGGAAACATGTGATCTGTGTTCTCCTCAGCCTGACTTTATTTTGTGCTTCTTGCTTCTCCCTGGGGGGTTGTACCTGAGTTGTGTCACTTTGCATGATGGAGTTGGGAAAATATTCCTGTTACATTCCGCATATTCATTAACAGATAAAATAAATGTTCTAGGAAAGTACTTGAAATGGATTTGTTTTCTTGGTGTTTTATTTCACCCTGAGCATTAAAAATGGTTTAAAATATTTGCATTTTTTAAATTGTTGAGATGAGATTTGTGTTAAATAATCTTTAGTCATTGAGCAGAATTTGATGCTGTTAAATAAAATTTGTGGGGGGCCACTGATTTGGACTAGGCTCCTGTACTGGGTTCAACACACTAAACCAATATGGAACATTCACATGAAATGAAATTCATTAACTCAGGAGTATGCTCATATAAGAAATGGCTGAGTTTCAGTTATAACAGCTGAGCTTTAGTGGGCAGCCAGCTAATTCAAATAAGGTGGCAAACCAATTAAACCTCACTTCTAACCCTACATCTCACTTCTGGTTTCTATCCATAACATGTTGAATGGTCTTTGAGACTATTGTGGTTTTGAGAGCTGCTGGGTTCTAGAATCATGAATAAAAGGCAATGGAGAAAAATGCCAAACCAAATGTGTTGTACATTTTCTCTTTTGATAGGGCCAAATCTGTGAATTTTTTAAGTGAACAGGTTTAGTAATTTTAGAAGCCTGAAAGGTATGTGAATATCAGAGATTATAGTTTGTTTGTGGCATATTTACAACTCTCTGTAAAATAAATATTTTAATATATATTTATTAAGTAAATAATAAATATAAATAAATATTAAATACAAGCAAAATGACTATTTCAACTTGGGACATTGTTCCCACTAACCTAGACTTTGTAGTGACTGTCTTGTATCATGGAGCTGAGTGTTCATTCACCGAAAGCCTAGAAATTGCCATCGTTCATACTTTTAGAAAAGTTTTTGTCATCTGATGATGCAGTTGCAAGAAGAAATCAATGAATGTAATTAAAGTCAGGCCTTTTGTTTTAGCTGCTCTTGGTTTATGTTACTTGGGTTTTTGTTATTGTTGTTGCTGTTGTCATTTTCTTTTTGGTGGTGGTGGTGCCTATAGGAAAGATTCAGATGTATCTCTTATTAGAATGAGCATGTATATCGTGTGTGTATGTTTTTTAAAAAATATCCTTACACTGGTGATCACAATGGTGCTCTCTGTTTGGTTCCTCAAAATTTCTGTCAATACTGAAAACTAACTGTTTTGATAAAGGTCAGAGGAATAAATTAGGTCAGGATTCTGACCTAGGGCAATGATAATCATAGCAAAAGCTATGTAATTCTATATACTCTAACCAAAACCAATGCTTATGTCTCATACTGACTTTCTGTAGCTACTTAACAAGAACATTTGAAATGGACTTTATTGTATTTTCCTAATTTCTAGACATTTATCCTACTGAATTATTAGGGCCACTTGAAACTTTTGTAAACTGTCTATATCTGCTCTCTGGAAAGAAGGTGGATAACTCAGTCTTTGCCTGGAGCACTGCATCCCAAAAGGGAGAGCTCCCTACTGTCTTACAGTGTCTGCTGCCCATAAGCCTCCTGCTTTTGACTATGTTTTCCTATCTGTACCTGGGATAATCTAGTTCTGAGAGTATATGTGGTTATTTTGAGATAGTGCTAAATTCCAAGTGCTGTCATGCAACCACCCAATAAATAGTTGCAAAGAATTTAGTATATGCAAGCCAGGGGGCATATAGTGGTGTGAACTACAGCACAGATAGGATGAGAGCCTGACTTCAGGGATCGTACAATAAAATGACAGTAGAGAGCCAACAGGGGGAAATTTAAAAAAGTGTTACAATGAAGAAAGGATACAGTGCTTTGGGAACACACAGCCAAAACACCCAAACTGTGCTGGGAAGTGAGGGGGAAGCCAGAGATGCTGCCATAAAAAAGTGGTGTCTGGGCTGGAACCTAAAGAGTGAGTGGGAGGGAGTCAGCCAAGGAGCAGGTAGATGAGTGTATGGTGTTGAAAAGTATTCTAGGAGAAGAGACTGCAGTGGGGTTTGGAGAACTGAAAGGTTGGAGTTTAGGAAGAGAGGTAACAGGAAGTGAGTCTGCAGATGTAGGGAGGTGTCTACCTACCTCTCCAATGGAGCTTTTAGAGGTAGGCTAATAGGAGTGGGCTTCATCTCAAGAAAGTTACATCATTTGGGATCAGGAAATGACATGATAAGATGGCTTTGTCACACATGAGGTTCTACGGGCTGCAATGTAGAGATCAGAAGAAAGATGCCCCTTTATTAGGGTAGTCTTAAAAATGAGGAGGCCTGTGCTGGTGTAGTAACAGAGAACGGACATATGAGGGAAGCAAAATAATACAGGATTTAGTGACAGACTCTCTGGGGGAGATAAGGGAAAGATGAACATGGATTCTCAACAGCAACTGTATAGGAATAATAAAGTGTGAGAATTTTTTTTGTTACTTTGATTCTGTATTCTAATTTTCCTAGACTGAAACCTTCATGAATATAGAAATAACACAACTTACTTTCTCTCTGTGATATCATGAAAGAACCCACAGGACTACTGAGTTTTAGGGCCAGTAGTATAATTTATTAACTTTGATATATTAGGTAAGTTAATGTCTAATCAGGACCCCAGAAAAAAACAGGGAGCAACTCTTGGTGGGCAGGCAGATGTAAGCAAATAAATAAAAAATCTGCAGATGGGAAAGGGTTTGATGGGTCTAATAACAGGAATCCTACAGATCCAGACCTTCTAGGCTATTAGGAAAGTCTTACTATAAGAGCAAAAATGGCTGTTAGTGCCTTTTAAACGAGAAAGTCAGCATTCTAGATTGACTGTCACAAGTCACTCTTCCTGCTGAATAGAGAATGAATAGAGAGGGAGAAACTAAAAGAGAGAGAGGGATCAGTTAGAAGCTTATTATAGTTGTCCAGGAAAGATAAAAGTGGTTTAAATAATAATAGGTAATGCATTTATTACATTTAAATACTTATGAGCAATTTTCTTCATGGATTATTTACTCAGCAAGTTTTAAACAAAACTCACTGAAAGTGTCTTATCTCAATTTATAGTTTTCCATGACTTTATTTTTAAATTTTGTGAAATAAAAAAATAACTACCCAGAAAAGCTTATGGATTATTATACAGGTAGTCTTTTTCTATTCGTGCTTTGTCACAACTGTATCCCTTTAGTCTTCCTTCTTATCAATTCATCATATTTTTGATACATTTTAGAGTAATCACAGGTATCAATACACTTCATCCTCTTCACTCTTAAACACTTCAGCATTCAAAAATTAATAGAGATCCATTTTATCTTTTTTCTTGTCATACACACTTTTAGTACATAAATTTAAATGTGCCTTTTAATAAACTTAACAAATGCATTTATTTGTCTCCATCCCAGACTTTCTTTCTCTTACCATTTTAGCACTCAGTGGCACTTTATGAGATTTTTTTGAGATTATCCTACAGCTTTTTAAGGCTCTGTCAATTTTTTTAGTGTTTTTTTCTTTTTGTTTTTAGAATGTATTGATCTGCTGGGAATTTATGTCAGCGGCATAAGCACCGCCATGCAAGCAGGCAGTTATGAGTTTGATCCCCGGCACTAATAAAAAGGAAAAAAAAAAAAAAAGAATGTATTGATCTATGTTGAAGTTCACTTTCACATACTATCTACAATCTGCTGTTTCTATGGGTGATTTTATATATTTTTAGTTTTATATTTTTCAGTTCTAGAGTTTTGGGGGGTTGTTATAGTTTATCTTTTTTTGTTAAAATTTCCTGTACTTTTATTCATGATAAAGATGTTTTTCTTTGTAATGTTATTCATACTTATTATAGCTGCTTTAAAATCTTTATCTGCTAATCTCAACATTTAGATCAGTAAGTCTCCATTTATGATTACCTTTTTGTTTGCATATGGTTCATATTTTTCTTTTTCTTTGTATACAAATTAATTTTCAATCACGTTTTGGACACGTTTTTGATACTGTGCATCACTTCTGGGTTCTGCTACATTCTTCAGAGTAGTGCTGATTTTTTCAGTTTAACTTGAAAATAATTTAGAAAGAAATATTTTAAACAGAAATGTATCAGTCAGCTTTCCTGTTCCTGGATACAATACTCAAAACTCACAATTTGAAGGAAGAAAGATTTAATTTAGACCACGATTTGGGGAGATTTATTCTATAGTCAGCTGGCTCCAAGGCAAGAGCATCGTGGCATAAGGGCATGGTGAGTCAAAGCCATTTAGCTTATGGTGGCTTGGGAAGGAGAAATGAGAGGAAGAGGCAGCAGACTACAGATAATCCCCAAGGTCGTGTCTCCAGGACTCATTCAGGGATACCCAGGAGCATGCTCACTAATCTGCTA